ATTTGTGAAGATGTGTTATAATTAATTGGATTTAATTATTTTATGAAGTGGATAAATAATATTAGAGGTATAATATTATTAAGTGGTGAAATAATATTAGAAGTATTATAATATTATTTGATGTGGGTCTATTTTGAAGGAATAGAAGTAATAAGGGTGTGTGTGTTGGTTTTAAGTCCAATAAGGAATAATAGAATAATAGGATTATTTTATTATTTGTTAGAAGGAATAAAAAGAAAGAAGCAGTAGAAAGAATACGGATTTGGAAGAGAACGTGAAGCTGCTGGAAAAAGTGGAAAATGGCAAGAACGAGAATTCAACCCGAAAATTGTAGAGCGACCTTCAATCCAAGGTAAGGGTGGGGTTCTGACTTTATAATTGGGTTCATGATGCTCGATATGTGGAGTTAGAGGTGATTGCTGTTTTGTTCTTGAATTGGATGTATATGATGATGTATGATGAATATTTGATGAATTTTAGATGAATAATGATGTCATGATGTTGTTTAATCGATGTAGTATCATAGGATAATGGTAGGTGATGATTTATCATGATTATAACAAGGTTGTAGGGTTAAGAATATGATTCCCGTAGTGAAAATGCAGGAGAAATCATGGAATTATGCAGGAGGAATCAGGATGTGTCGACCTCAAACTTGATGCGTCGATATATGAAGGCTGTAAGACTCAGGATGAGTCGATACGAAAGAGGCTTGCGTCGATACATGAGGGTTGAAAGACTCAGGATGAGTCGACTAGTGAGATGCATGTATCGATACATGCTGTGTATGAGACCAGGATGAGTCGATCCATAAGGATGATGTGTCGAATCATGTTGTGCAGATGAAGCAGTACGCATCGATCTAAAGGGTTTTGCATCGACCCACAATGTCTGATTTTTGACAGATTCAGTTTTAAATTGTTGTAACCTGAGTTTTAGGATGCTGTTTGAGATGTCGTTCGAAGCGTTGGATAGTTAACGCGATGAACTTTATTCTAGAGGATTAAAATGATGAATAAGAAGTGTAATCCTAGTAGGCAATTTAGGATTTAGAATTACTTCCTGTGTTGGTCGTTGTGTTGGTTTTTGAATAGAATGATGAATGTGCGATGTTTAGAGACTGCCGTTCAAATTATAACAGTAGGATTAGTGACAGTAACGATGTAAAATTGCAGAATAACAGTATGGACTACTGTGGTATTAATTTACAGCTGAGTTATTAGTGAGATGTTATTAATGAAGTTGTGTTTGATGATTCATAATAAATAAATGATGTTTTATGAATTATTTTGATGATAAGAGAAGTGGATGACGAGACGTTTGAGATGTTGTTATTTTGAGATGTATTTTGAGATGTTTTGAGATGATTTGAGATGTTGTTAACTTGGGTGTTGTTATTACATTCATGGTTGAGTCGCATACATTGCATTTTTTGAGATGGAGCTTATGCTCGTTGAGATGGCCTGGATTGGCAAATTTTGAGATGAAGGTTATGCCTTGTTGATGCCTCTATTAATTGGCAAATTTTTGAGATGGGAGTTCTGCTCCAATGGTACCACATACATTTGCATAGTATTGAGTTGCATTAGATGATTGTATAAAGAAGTGTATTTTGATGTTGATGAATGTGTACATGTGTTGTAATTGTTGTTGATTATGAGATGAGAAGTGGTGATGTTATTGATCTAATTTAATATATTAATTATCATGCGCTTTATTATATTGTTAGATATCTCACCCCTTCTGTTTGAATGTTGCCCTTATGTTGGTAACGTGCAGGTAATCGAGAGTGAAGGCTGTATACCTTCAATAATTCGAGTCGGTGTCATTGCTCTGATATGTAACACTCGGAGGGATGAACGTTTGCTGATTTTTGATTGCTGATTTTCAGTTGTTGAACTTTTAATTGATTATTAATAAATATGCGAAGTTTCGAAGTTGCTGTTTTGTTGTTTAAAGATGTTATTGAGAATTCCGCTGCGTAGATGTTGATTTATGTGATTAAAGATGTTATGTTGATGGTTCATCCGATGTTTGAAAAAGTGTTATATATCCACGATGAATGCAATGTATTTGTTAGAAGAATTTGTGACGTCCCGATTTGTTTGCATGATTGAATTTTATAACTCTGATATATTTGTGTAATTTCTTGCGGTAGAATTGGGGTGTTACACCACGCGTAAATGCCGGAAAACGGTAACTTCAAAATCAGAGAAAGGAAGGCGGAGACCCATCTCTCGGAAAACTATGTCGTACATAGAAATCCGCCTCCTATCATACCTCAAGCAAATCCTACTATCTTTCCCGGGGATGTATAACAACCATTCCTCCCGATCCCCCTCCTCGTGCACATAAACATCGGTGAACACGTCTTCTCCGTGCTCATAAAAGTATGACCGCCACTCCCAGGGGTCCTAGGCTACCCAATCTCTAGGGTCCTCGTCATCTCGAGGAGGAAATAGGCCTTTCCGTACCGAAGAGGTCGTCCCTACGTCGGGCTCCCCCATCTGTTGGTCCACCAGGTTTTGCTGCCCTTCAGAAATTTCCAAAATGCTCGACGAGCTACTACTGGTCCCGCTCGAGGAACTCCTGGAAGATTCAGTGGATTCACTCGAAATAACAACATGCGCGTCGTCAGTCACAGTGCTTGAAAAGCAGAGTAAAAGGGTGAGCTCGACATCAATGCCAGAACCACCCTTCCACCAGTAAACATGTGAAAGGACGCTGGGAGACGAGGATCTTATCCCCGACCAGAACCCTCACTGAGGCGCGCTTCCGGGCAAAAAACACAAATAATCCAGAACTCCGCTAAGGTATTCTAACGGGCATGGGTTGCAAAAAACAATCAAACCCTAAATGAATCCCCTATAACACGCCATCAGAGAGCTCCACGGCGGCCCGAGCAGCCATGCGCCGCGAGAACGACGTCCGTCACCTAGGGTCTTTAGCGGTCTCCTCCCTAACAGAACCCTAAATCCTAACCGCATGAATATCTAAGAAGCAAAAAACAAAAGCATGCAAACAATGGAGAATCGAAAACTCACGGAAAGAAGAAGAGACGAAGCTGGATAACCGCGAACGAAGAAATTGAGCAAATGCCGATGGTCGACCGTCGAGCTAATACGAGTAGTTGAAGAAGGAAGCGAAAAATACTAATCGCCCTGTCCATCTCGTATTTTAGCTTGAATGACCAGCGCGTGCAAAACACGCGTCTTGGGAATCCTAGGATCGTCATCATGACACCCTAGCCCTAGGCCATCATTGGCGCCGCTCGACCGGCGCGATTCCTGGAATACGCTACCTCTCCAAATTCAACGGGTCCGAAAGTAAACGTTTTTCCTCCCCGACAAACAAGCACAACGGGCAAACCCCATTTCCCCGTCCCTCGAGCAGACATCAAAAGTCTTCGCTCTTGTGCCCAGAAGCAACGACTTGGGGGGCTAATGTTCTGTACTGACCCGAAAGTTTGAGTGGGCCCAGTCTAAAACATCTCATGGGTGCCACCCACTGGTCGTGACACAGCAATATCACCCTCTTTCCCTTCTGGTCCTACACCGATCTGAGATGCCCGTCGAGCAACTCCTCAGCCTGCCCGACATCAGCATCGTGCAGAGCACCAGGGACCGACCAGAGAGATGCCTGCAACCAGTCTCCTCCCCAGAACCAACGGCTAGTTACGAGCACATCTGCCCGGTTTGACCAAGTCTTGACAATTACCTGATTTTCCGGACTCGCATACCAAGGTGGGAAATCAGGAATCAATTGCCACGCGCCAGGGGCATTATATAAATTCTCACACCCGTTAAGGTCAGGTATCACATTTTTAGTACTCACTACTTGATATTCTGCTAGTACCTCCTTACTCTCACTCTTGATCGTTGGAGTACCTTGCAGGTACAACTCCCTCTCTCCTCTGCCCGACTGAAGATCATCCTCCGGCCACTCTCCAGATTCTAGTCAACCTCAAGATCAGTTAGGGATCTCTTTTCTCTTTTTGAGTTGCACATCTTTTTTAGAGGTGTGTTTAAAATTAGAGGTTATATATCTATGATTTGACATTCAGTAGTGTGGTCCATTTGAAAATTTCAAAATATTGTTGTTTTTACATGTAAAACTATAAATATGAAGGATGTGGAAGAACATAACATTTTCCTTACTTGAAAATGGTATTATAAAAGGTTTGCCGTTATTTCTCTACTTGACTTGAAAATCATATTCTTTATTTGAGTCAGTAGTGTTTTGGAAACCTTTGACCTAGTTCTTGTGGCGTAGTGTTCTTAATGTCTTTATAGGAGAATTTTATTTTTGTTAATGATAGTTTATTTGGGAGGAGATCTAGCTTGCTTTCTCTCATATTTAAGCGATGTATATGATGGTGGTTTTTCTCTTTTGATGGATGAGTGTTGGTTGGTTGGTTTATATATATATATATATATATATATATATATATATATATATATATTATTTTTCTGTTAAAAAGTAATAGTAAAAGAACTTTAATATAATGGTAGCATCTTCTATTAAAGTTAATTAAAAATTAGTTACAATTTCTTCTGTCTTGTAATGACAAGGAAAAAAGGATATTGATACATAAAGTGTAAGTATGCATTGACAACTCTCACAAAATTAAGACAATATATAATGATGTAAAATAGCTTAAAGCAAAGTAAAAGCCACACTATGCATGCAAAAAAAGAGAATGTACATTTAGATTGTTACATAGCCAATGACACAGTACAAAGTTAAACTTATAATTTGTAACCCAAAAGAAAGAAAGAGAAAAATAATATAATGAAAATTATGAACTCTAAAGGAGCTAACTCACTCTTCAAGTGAATCTCCATTATCACTTTAAAAAAATCATATAATAATATCAGAAACTTCTAAATTAGCTTATAGTAAGATGAAATGGAAAACTAACATATAATGGTTCCATATCATCTTACTTAAGATACTTCTTTATTTATTGGCTATAATATATGAATATGATGTCACTCAAGTTATGAATCAGGAAAGCATCCCAAGATATTATTAACTTGATTTTGAGATTGTAGCTCATTCTGGTTATTGCTATGAGTTATCATCAATGGCAAGTTATTTTGATGTGAAAAGTAATTAGCTGTATCTGTAAACTGTGAAGTGAACAAGTTGTCCAAACTTTTCCAATCAATCACTTGTCCATTATTGTTATTATCATTGCTTCTATCTTCACTGCAATATTCTTCATTTGTGATGAGACCATTAATGTGATGTTGTTGTTGGCTACATTCTATTGTTGTTGGACTATCTAACTGTGGAAGTTCAATGAGTTGTTGTTTGTCCATAACAAGAGTGTTTTGGTTTGATAGAAAATGCTGATCATTACTAAAAGGGTGACTACTAAAACTTGTACCTTCATGCAAAAGATCTGTGATTGATAAAGGTCTTGTTGTTGCATAGCTTTGAATTTGAATATTATCTCTGAAATATTGTGGTTGTTGCTGATTGCTATACCATGGTTCATAACCTGGCCTGTGACTTGGACTTGGCTTTTTAAATGCTCTACACACAACCCATCCTTCTTCCTGCAATAGTTAACAAGTTTAAATTCTTGTTATACCGTCTTTCAGGGCGTGTAAGGAAGGTTACACAGGCTTCAAAATTTGTCGCAGTTAAATCATGACTAAATAGAAGCTCGTAAAATATTATGTGGTTAAATAGAATTTTTTTTTTTTTTTGTTTTGCCACAGTGAAACTGCGATTACTTACGCAGAACCTCCAAAAAATTTGAGACTTCTGTGATAGTAAATGATAGTAAAGAATCAAAGAGAAGCTTGTATGATATATACATATAAGTTTAATATATTGGCAATGGTTGATAAAGAGAGTAATAAGAAGAAAGTAATGAACTTGCCTGTGGAGGGCCATGTTCAGAGGTTTGATGCCTATATTCATGCATAATCCAATCAGTTTTTCTTCCATTAGGGGCACGTCCTTTGTAGAAGACAAGGGTTTTTCTCATTCCTATGATTCTATTCTTGGAAGTTACAGCTTTATCTCTTCCAGTTGCTTTCCAGAATCCAGCTGCAGTAGCTCTATTAGTTCTTGTTCCTGTTGGATACTTCTTATCTTTGTGGCTGAAAAAGTACCACTCATTCTGTTGCTCATACCCTAGCTTGCATTTATCTGCATACACACATAGATTTCAACAAACACATCATTAGTAATAATTTAGTATATTATGAGTTAATGACATGACATGACATGACATAATGTTCCATAAGGTTGAGATAATAATATATTATACCTTGTATGTCCCATGGTTCAATTTTGTAGAGATCAACCTCAACAATAACATCTAGATCAATCTTAAGTGAGTTGATTTTCCTGTTGAGATAATACCCTACAAGTTCCTCTTCTGTCGGATGAAATCTAAATCCTGGAGGTACACTTGATTCCATATCCATTGATGATGATGATCTTTCCTGAAAATTAATATAACCAAAACAAAATGATCAATTTTACCATTTATATACATATTTTGGTTCCATAACATCAAAATGCATAAAAAAAAAGGATCAAATTGTTTTTAGCATTAGAATTTGTAATTATAGATTACAAATACCTCATACCTATAGCTAGGGTGGATGAGATATATAGCTATAATAATGATGATGATGATGTAACTTTATTTTTGGACCCAACAAATGTGCAGCATGTGCAATGCTAAAACTGGCAGACCATGTGTGGATCCCACCATTAGTAACATATAAAACAAATGTATAGGGTTATTAGCAATTGATTAGCCCTAAGAAAAGCTCTTTTTTATTTATGCCTTTAGTTGCATGAGATGAAAAAAAAGTATATTGGCCGAAAAAATTGACTTTGCTGTCACAAGCATGTCACAATTACAATGTATCTTTGAGTGCAGTGCACTCTCAAGTAACATTTGTTGGTGGTGGAGAAAGACCTGCCTGTGGAAAATAATCGTTGATCACACAAAAACACATAGCATAGCATAGCATAATATTGCATGCTAGATAAAGTTCCACTCATCATCAACATAAGGTGCTTTTCACACTAATTTTTCAAGGACATAATGCTCATAGAGATCTTGCATATTTCTCTAAATCATATTAACTAGCACTAGCTTGATATAAATATTCATAATTTGAAGATTTCCAGTGATGATATTTGAAGATTTTCATGATGTTAAGGAGATCATAATGAATATAGCACTAGCACATCCCATGATAAAAACAACCAAATAGTGATGAGAAGAAGAAGAAGAATAAATATATAGTTACACTTATATAAGAAAACTCACAGAAATTTGAGTTGATGTCATATTCTTGTTGAGGATGTTACAGATACTGGAAGAGAGAGAGGTAAGAGAGGGAGAGATGTGGTTATGAAAGTAATAAGGTGGTGAATGTTTGTGTTTAAAGAGAGGAGAGTTATGTGTGTATATATATATATGTGTATTAGGAAAAGAATGTGAGAGAGAATGTTGCAGATAAAAGAAGCAGAAGAATAATATATATAGATATACAAAAGAATAAACATATATATAGATGATTGCGCGTGGGGTGGCAGATAGATAGATGAAAAGGTTTATGTTTGGACGGCGTGACACCGAGCTTTCACGCCACCCCCTCTTCCACCGCTATATTCTACCCTAATGAAACTTTTACTCTATTTTTCATTCCATTATATCACTTTTTTTATTTATATATAAACACTGCTACTACTGTACATTTGTCTTTAGTTTAACTAACTTAATTATGAGTTAATGTGAATTGTTAATTGTTTTGATTAGTTACTAGCTAACATTACATTATATTGGCTATATGGATGTTTTCTTTAAACATAGGCTTGAAGGTTAATAAAAAGACAAGAGAGAAAAAACAAGTCTAGAAGCTCTAGACATATATAAGTTAACATGACCTTCAATTCATTCCGCGTAAGAGATTAGGAAGGATGAGGAATTCATTATTGTTCTAAGTAACATTATAGTTAACTATTCAATCTGTACAACAATTTCTTTCTAGCTAAATATGATTGAACTTGATATCTGCCACTTCCTTTGAATCATTCTTCTAATTATACAGATTAAGGTTAAGCAATAGTGGTCATTTTCAGTCTCTTAGTTAATTATATTTATCAGAATTTTAAAATCGTTCTCGACTATCAAATTTGTAATTCTTTTTAGCTAAATTATCTCAATCCCATGAAATATTGCCTACACTTTTGCTATAAGAATATCATCCAGACTAATAGTGGATTGTAGGAAGGGTTCCTTCTAGTGAGAGTAGAGATGAGAATAACTTGGGCCGAGATAGGCTTTGTCAAGCCTAAGTCTGACCTGTTAAAATATTTAAAGTCTAAGTCTGGTCTATGATCTATCATAGACTTATTTTTTAGCTTGAGTTTGATCTTTTCGAATACCTAATTAGCATATTAGCCTGCTTAAAAAGCCTATATCATTTGAACATATGTAAGTAAGCAATTCAATGTTTAAATATACTAGAGAATCAAAAATACAATGAGACTAAATATTTGTTTACATTGACTTATTTGAGCTTACATAGTAGCATAAGTTTTGTGACATTATTTGTTTGGGAGAACTTATGAAAACAACTTATGTCATTATTCATAAGGTTTTTTCAACTTATTTTCACAAGTTCTTAATGATAACTAAACTCTATTTTTGTATTTTAATATAAAGTACACAATATAATATAAAAAATAATAAATTTACTCATATTTATAAAAATGAGCCTGCCTGATAGACTTAAAAGGCTTTTTATATGGCCTGTGGACTAGCCTATTTAACTAACTAGACTTATAAAAAAGCCTAGGCATTTTCTACTTAAAAAAAAGACTGGCATGACCTTAATTAATCCGTGCAGGTTAAGCCGTAGGCCCTTGTTAGTTGGCATGACATATTCTCACCCCTTTTAGGGAGAGGTGTCTCTTCTTGGTTCTACATCAAAGCAACATTTAAACTAGTTTGCTTCTTCTTGTAAAAAGGAGATTGGGGTCGGTGTGAAAACTATGTCCTGGCAATGATATTTGGGTGGAGATAATTTCCATTGAGTGCCTCTTTTGAAAGATTTGTTCTCATCTTAGACGGGAAGTCTCATGAGGTGGGTTTGATGGGGTCTGGGATGAGAATGCTTGAGTCTGAGACTTTAAGTGGAGACCCTCCTTTTTTGTATGGGAGGAAGAGCTTTTGGATGAACTAGTTGGTTCTTTAGTTGAGGTGGTCTAGCAGGGGTGGGCGGATGTCTGGGTTTGAAATCCGGACTCTTTGAGAGGTATTTAGTGAGGCAATATAATATAGGTTATTCTGTGTGATTAGAGTGTTTTCTAGGGTATGAAAGAGTTGAGTTCTTTCTTAATTGGTAGTCTTTTCTCGACAGTTGTTGCGGGATAGTTTACTTAGTAGACAAAACTATGTTTATCGTCAAATTCTCTCGTCTAATAGCAAGATGAGGTGTGTGGTGTATTTAGAACTTGTGGAGTTGGTTGACAACTTGTTTGTCACCTGTGAGATAGCTTCCTTGTTATGGTATAAGGTGTTTAGGTGGGGGAGTATGCCTACACCAATTCCACGTTAGGTTGTAAAGGTGTTTGAGATTTTTCAGGGTTTTGGCTAGGGAAATAAGTCTCTTTTAGGTTTGGTTTCGATATGACATTCAATAGTTTGGATCATTTGGGAGTTGAGTAGTAAAATTATATTTTGTTGGAGAAAATGGACGGTAAATATTGGATGTCTACGATTTTAGATATGGCTTGAAAGAGGGTTCTCGCCGATGCTTTGGAAGCTGACTTCTCTTTGCTTGAATGGGAGAAAGACCCAGTTCGATGCCTTCGCTCATAAGAATGTGTTGTGTGCCCAACTACTCTCCTTTATCTTTTCAGTTGGTCACGCTTACCTTCCTTCAGCTTGTTTTATATGGAGGTCCAGAGTCTAGTGTTTCAGAGTAAACTCATTTGAAGAGTATTGATTGAGTTTTCTTTGTGTGTGGTCTGAGATAGTGCACTCTCTCGACCCATGTGTTTTTATGCTTTTGTTTAGTTGTAGTTATTGCTTTGGAGCATTGTTTCCGCTCTCTTTGTTTGTTTCTTATTCTTTTATAATTTTTTTATTAAAAAAAACATTGAAATTAATAATTTATATACAAATATGATTTTGTATTAGAATATTATAGAGGAAGTTAATTAATGTAACCGATCCTCCTCCTTAGTAGAGTAAAATTTTGTTGTTCTTCTTTACTATTTAAAAAAGCAACAACATCTAATCAACAGATGAACATGCATTTATATGTCACATATATACATTCTTTAATTCCTGAAAATCGAGGTTAGATGTCTGTTTGGTGTGCCGTCCAATTTGGCTTGGCACCATTGATATTTTTACACCTGGAAGGAATTAACCTTTGCCAATCTGTCAACATCAAAATGTTTATATCATCATTTGTATTAGTAACGATTTCATGTGCTTGACCACCATTTTGTTTGATTTAGCTTTGATCTACCACAATAGCTCCACTATAATATGTCATCAATTTCTACTAGACTCAAACTTGTCTGATATCAAAAACAAATGAGTTTAATGTTTGATCTCTTGTTAATTAAGCCAGTCTTATTAGGAGTTAATCTAGTACTAACATTTTCCTAATAGCTTACATATAATGTAATAGACAGTGTTCAATTTCTTTTATATATGTAATTCATTGATGTCTATAGACAACAATATAGATGAAACAAATTTGACAGTTGAGAGCCACTAGACCACCTGCTTCTGTTAACAAAGTTCCAGCTACATGACTTGATTATTCAGAAAGAATGTACATTTTCATATATTATCCTTAGCAAAAGTAATACTAGTATATATAAGTATTTGATGCAGGTTTCTTTGAGAACAATGCACCCCTTTTCTTATATATTATTAAAAAAATAGTACTAAAAACAGAGTATTTTATACTTGGATCAAAAAGGTCATTTTGGGATTTGTGTGAAGTGGGTATATATACACATAAATATATAAAGGATATGTAAGTTAATTTGTTTTTATATGCGTCACATAAAGCCTAGATAAGTTAGATTACCAATAAATATGGTACTTTTCAATGGTTTGTTGTCTTATTCAGATTGGATTCATTAATATTATAGCAAATCTAGTACATAACTCCTATTTTTATTTCTTGTACTAAAATATATTTTTATTAAAAAGAGTAGTGATCAAACAAGCCAAAGCTTGTTCAGAAAGCTTACTCCATACATATATGTGTGTATAACATATAAAAATAAAAAATTCCTCAAAAATAAAAAAAACCATATTATATTATATATGTCTCAAAAGTTTGACTCCAAATATTAATTGTTCATAGTCGACTATATGTCTAATATTGCACAAATTCAATTACTGTCTATAGTATATAAACCATCATGTATGCACTAAAGGTACGAATTTTGATTATGATTTATCGTACTATTTTTTTATTCATTAATTTGAGTATTGGAGCGTTAATCTTGCAGGTTCACCTATGTGTTATTGCGCTAGAGATCTACAATACTGCATTAAGAATCACCTCATTAATTCACCAATAAATTTGGTTCTATAACAGAACAGTGGTGCTGTCTATATAAATCAACTTTTGATTTATGCAAAATTTCACAATCAAATCTCTTTTGATTCAAACCTCAATTGTTGTAACAGTTACGCTCAGATGGAAGGAGTCATTCATGATCTTGCTTCCAAAAGTACTTTGGAATCCTTCAATTTAAGACCATATTTGACCTACGTCGTAGATGTGGTCGGTGGAGATCTGCTCATGAAGGAAGAATCTCCACCATAGAGTTCCCTCAAATCAACGTTGCTAATAGAGAGGGGAAAGTGTGATAGGCCGGTCTTAGGATTCCAAGAGCACGAGAAGGTAGATGGAACTCCTAACACAACACTTTCATAATTATTCATGCTACCATATCTAATTATTTTGTCTCAGGGTTCTTTATTGATGATGAAAGTTCGTGCAATTTGATATACCTTAAAATCTTCACAAAGCTAGGCTTGAGTAAGCAAGGTCTGAGTAGTGTGAAGGCCAGAGCATCCTAACATTCAACGATTCCTCAACTCGTCCATGTGGACAATTAGATCTTCCACTTTCCTTGAAGGAAGAGGGAGATCCGTGAACACTCGCTTCTTTTTTATTCCTTATGGAGGCATTTACAATGGTATTCTAGGAAGGTTATTCCAAGCAATGCGAGGCGTGGTGGCTTCTACCATTCACTTGAAGATGTAGTATCACAACGATTATGACAAACCATTTGTAATCACAA